CCCCAAAACCCCAAAACCCCAAAACCCCAAAACCCCATGACGTAAATTTTGAAAAAATTTCGATGAAACTTTAAGTCTAAATTTTAATAACTCAAACCTAAAAAATAAGTTAAATAATCAATATATTCTAAAAATTTAGAACAGAACTAAAAATAATTAAATCTTAAATGATAATAGCCGAGGTTCTTACAACTGCCATGTTATTTCTATTCATGAGATCATATGCATCCCTGACTTGCAGTTCTGGACACTTTTTAAATAATATTACAAACTCCTGCGACGGTAAATTTTTTACGTTAATTACATTATAAGATTGCAGCGAAACTTGCAATGACTGCTTGGATTTGTAAACCTGCATAAATTGCAAAAATTCATAATTATAAAAACTGGAATCGGGGAGTTGTTAGTTTTGTCCAGATAATTTCTATTTAAATGGGGTAAACAAGTGTGAATGTAAGTAGATTCTGATTAGTTAATTATTATATAACTAGAATGCTCATGCGGTGTCAGAGACTCTAAATGCATTGAAAGAAATATTTGTTTGGAGTGTGACATTAATCAAGCTTTTGACTTAAATCTACTGCAATGTGTCGACGCATGTTCTGACCAAGATGAGAAAGCTACAATTCCATTTCACCCCTACTTAAAGAGATAATTTAAATATTGCAGATGTAATTTCCTTAAATTTAAAATATCTTAGCTTCAAGAATGTTTGTTGATCCGTCATCCGATAAATATTTAGAACTTGGAACTTTATAATATCCATTTAAATCTATGGTTTCAGCTTTAGTTGAATTGTTCAACTACCTACAAGCTGATAAGAAACCATATGAAATTTTGATAAAAGAAGGAGAATAAGAGAAATTATATGGACTTTAAAGTCAGCATTTAATACTCAATGCTTTAGATCTTACTATAAGGTATACCATATTATATATTATATATTTAGAACATATGCAGTAATGGATCCAAATTAATTAGGAAATTAGTCAATCATAAATATTTAAACTAGCCAAGCTTTTGCCAATCAACTATATTTTAGATTTTCCCTCATTGTAAATCTGGCTTATAACATAAATGAGAAGATTCAACAAGGTTTAATAACAGAAGCTGAAATGAATTTGATTTTATTAAAATCTGAACTTGTTATCATTAGAAGTTCTGTGAAATTTACTAACCTTCTCATAAAGAGTAATAATCACATTTTCTTACCATTTTTTATAAAATTTCTTCTAGATAGTATTAAAGAGAGTAATGAGGAGAAAAGATTTCTATACCTGCACGATATTTAACATAGAACGATATCATTCGAGGTTCGTAATACCTTCAAATTTCAAAAATATTTTATAGAAAGTTTTATTTAATCTCTATGGTAAAATAATGCGTTCTGCAAATCCGCTTAACCTTAGGATTTTGAATTCAACAATAGTTACAGATTACATTAACGAAGGAATCATACTTCTGTCTGATTGTAGCTAAAGATAAATTAATTCTTATGAAGGAGAAATTGAATTTTCAGGTTTAAGAGTAGTAGGGCAAAGATACCTAGTTATCCAGTAGCCATTGATCTATATATAGACCCTTTATAATGTCACAGTAGATAATTCTGAATTAAGATCATTCTCTTCAATCAATGATGCTAGCAAGTAACAGCTATCGATTGAATCAACGAGCTTGTGCCCATTTAATGCTGATAAAAAAATTAAGAAAACATAGCTCACTAATAGTTACATATCATCTGATGCTATCAATGGGAAGGACCAAACTTAAATATAGTATAACATTAACTGCGGATAGAGGTCAGACTTTAACAAGCGGATTTAGCAGTGCATTATTGAGAATTTGACGTTTGAAAATCTTTATTCTGGTGTCACTTTGCTATATTTATCTTAAGGGGCATCAGATTTAACAATGCGAAACTTCACCTAGAATAATGTATCACTTGGTCCAATTTAAGCAATGCATTACTTTATTACAGGATTTACAACATTGTATATGATAGATATAAAATTCTATAACTGTGAAACTCAAGGCAGAGTAATAGCTACTGGAATTTTTACTAATACATACATTGATAAACTTGTAATGATAAATAACACATGTAAGGATTTTAATTCTAATTTAAACTCTATTGATTAGTGGATAAACAGAAAAATGGATTATGTTTCTTTAAGAGTTCTGGTAATCCAACAAACGCTATTTATTCATTTAACAACTTATACTTCAAGAATAACAATATTAACTCAAATTAAAGTATGATAATACAATTGTTAATTTACAACCCATTTCGTAGTGTTTTAATAGGACTAAAATATTAGAAAGTTCATTATCATGAATTCAGTATTTGAAGATGAATGTAAATTTATAATTTGATCATAATTTTTAGTGATTAGCACTTCTACTAATTATATTTTTATAGAATGTTCTATTTAATCTCTATGGTAAAATTATGCGTTCTGCAAATCCGCTAAACCTTAGGATCTTGAATTCAACAATAGTTACAGATTACATCAACGAAGGAATCATACTTTTGTCTGATTGTAGCTAAAGATAAATTAATTCTTATGAGGGAGAGATTGAATTTTCAGGTTTAAGAGTAGTCGGGTAAAGATACCTAATTATGCAGCAGCCATTGATCTATATATAGACCCTTAATAATGTCACAATAGACAATTCTGAATTAAGATCATTCTCTTCAATCAATGATGCTAACAAGTAACAGCTATTGATTGAATCAACGAGATTGTGCCCATTTAATGCCGATTAAAAAGTCAAGAAAACATAGCTCACTAATAGTTACATATCATCTGATGCTATCAATGGGAAGGACCAATCTTAAATATAGTATAGCATTAGCTGCAGATAAAGTTCAGACCTTAACAAGCGGATCTAGTAGTGCATTATTGAGAATTTGACTTTTGAAAATCTTTATTCTGGTGTCACTTTGCTATCTTTATCTCAAGGGTCATCAGACTTAACAATGCGAAACATCACTCAAAACAATGTATCACTTGGTCCGATTTAAGCATTTCATTTCTTTATTACAGGATCTAACGCATTCACATTGTGAATGATAGATATAAAATTCTATAACTGTGAAACTCAAGGAAGAGTATTAGCTACTGGAATTTTTACTTTTACATACATTGAGAAACTTGTAATGATAAATAATACATGTAAGAATTATAATTCAAATTTAAACACCCTTGATTAGTGGATAAAGAGAAAAATGGATTATGTTTCTTTAAGAGTTCTGCTAATCCAACAAACGCTATTTATTCATTTAACAACCTATACTTCAAGAATAACAATATTTACTCAAATTAAAGTATGATAATACAATTGTTAATTTACAACATTTTCGTAGTGTTTTAATAAGACTAAAATATTAGAAAGTTCATTATCATGAATTCAGTATTTGAAAATGAATGTAAATTTATAACTTAATAATCATTTTTAGTGATAAGCACTTCTACTAATTATATTACAAATCTTAGAGGCCAAAGTTTTTCAATAATTAATTCAACATTTACTGGATTTAGATATACCGATAACTCTAAATTCGGGGCTTACATAGTCAGATATGACGAATATAACTTGGCTAACTTAAGTGAAAATTCAACAATTGAAAATGTAACAATCAGTAATAATGAAGTTGACTTTTTCTTTTTTGGAGGATTCAAAAATACTTCTCTAACAAACAGAGATATTATCTTCTAATTGAGCCTAAATAGATTAAACTTCACCTCGAACATGTATGTAAAAGAATCCAATCTTATTAAGATAGATTAGTTTGCTGATGAAAGCAATGCTTAGATTATATTAAATAACTCTTTCTTTACCAACAATACTTTTGAAGCAGGTGGAAACTTGTTACTTGCTTCCTAAAACCAAAGACTACCTTTAATTATCTAAAATACAGTGGTCACTTAAAATTATCAAGCTCAATTTCATTTTTAAGCAGGAGATATCATGAATAAAAACTTACCTTAGTCATCTATAGTAAAAAATTGCTCATTTTCATAAAACTACTAGATGATTTTATCTATTTTTGATATGAAAGAAAATACAAAAATTTAAATATACTCCTCAACATTTTAAGACAATTTATCAATGTCTAGAGGCGCTGTCATCTTAGCAGACTATTGATAAGTTTAAGTTTATATCCAAGATAGCTAATTCTTGAGAAATTTTGCAGTCGATGGAGCCGTATTTTTTGTTCATTACAATAGCTACATTATCATAAAAAATTCCGTTGTTTAAAGCAATTATGCAATTTAAGGTAGTCTAGGGATAATTGAAAATTCTGGTTACTTCTATATTTAAGACTCGATTATTCAAGACAATCACGCTTTAAAGAATTCAATCATCTCAATCTTAGATTCTATTGATATGTAGTCAGAATTTAATAATTGTTCCTTCCAAAGCAATGGTGCTTATGAAATAGATATTATTGCAAATTTCCTATAAAATAATTGGCTAAATTAAGTGACTGACTAAAAAATATTATCATAGATTTAATTGAGCGATCAAAAACTTTAACGCACCGATAAAATTTAATATTCAATGAGTATCAGTAAGGGATATCTAAAAATTTCAAATTCAACTATAGCAAATGCCAAAAATTTTATCATTTCATATGTTGCTGAAGTCAGTATTTATAGCACATTAATAGTAAATATGACTGTAGATGATTCAGATGGATCCTTTATCACAGTGACCTAATCTTAGATCCTTTTACAAAATACATCATTCTCTAACATAACTTACTAAAATTCTAGAATAGTGCATAAATAGTACATTTTAGAATCTTATTTAAATAGTAAAGTTTTAATATTTGATACTAAACTAGTTTCTTGCAATTTATAGCTACTTTCAAGTGTAAATACTGAAATAGTAATGAGAAATATATCCATAATAAATTTCAGCTACTCTTTTACTAATGATAGACTAATGAAAATTGATTCTTCAAGTTTGATTCTCAATGATTCATATTTCAATTCTATGCAAACAATCGCTTCAACTCTAATACACTTATTTAGATGCTATAAGATTCAAATAAGTAATTCAACATTCATTGATTTCAATAAGACTCTTTTCTCAATTCAACTTAGCTAAATTAACATAACTGGATCATCTCTAATTGCCAATAACTGAACCTATGATTTAGATGCTTCACATTAAAATATGATTAATTTTAGGCTACAAGATAGTAAACTTATAAATATTTTACAGAGCACAATGAGTATTTAAAATTCTACTTTCATTAGAGGAATGTCTAGAGAATAAGGAGGTGCATTGCTCATTCAAAATACAAATTTTAACATCAGATTTTCAAATTTTATTGAAAACTACGCAAAAGACGGAGGCGCAATGGCTTTAATATGCTCTCCATGTAAATTTAATTCTTATTGATATTTCTATAGCAATCACGTGTAAATATGATATCGATTCTAATTATTTTGCTTCTAATTATGCTTCCACTAAGGGTGGAGCAATATACTACAACAAGCATAGACCTTAGAAATTTAAAAATAATGTTTTTAATAGTGGTAATTATGCTCCATTCGGGCCAGAAATGGCAGGTTACCCTTATAGTGTAATTGTTTAAAGTTATGATAATATTCCCTTGGCAAGTGGCTAAATTTATTAAGGAATAATAAAAGTTGGGATCATTGATGCTGACGGTTAGATAATCACAAATGATAATAGCTCGTAAAAATTAAGCATCTTAATCAATTTTTAGTTCAATATACATAAGTGCAACTGATTAAAATGCCAAAATTTCTGGAGAATATCAAATTTAAGTAGAAAATGGGATTGGAATCTTTTAGGTAGGGATGCTTTAGTTTTACTCCAAGCCAGGAAGCAAGAATGTTTCATTTAAAATACAATCGTCAAGCATAGATACTAATTATATAATGAGAGTATTTGAAATTGATTCAAACAATCAAAATAAATAAATCAATCTTGAATATATTTACTTTGATTTTAGATAATGCCAAAGTGGAGAGATTAACTCAAATGGATAGTAAGATAATTTTATTTTTGACTTTTCTAGATGCATTAAATGTGGGCTTGGATAATATTCTCTAGATGGTTCCAATCCTTCCTGCTATGAATGCATGGAGAATGCTGAGTGTCCTGGGGGAGATATTATTAATGTTTTACCTGGATTTTGGAGGTCATCAAATACCTCCACAAATATTATACCTTGTCTTTATGATAAAGCTTGCATTGGAAATTCAGTAAATTCATCAAATGATGCTAAGCTCTGCCAATATGGATACGAGGGGAATTTATGTAATCATTGTTCAAATGAAGGTGGCATTCAATTCATGAAATTAAATAGTTATTAATGTGGCCATTGTCCCTAAAAAATTAACAATATTATTTACATATCTGGAATCTTTTTACTTTTGTTTGTAGCACTAGCATTTTTGCTTTGGATTAATCTAAGAAATTAGAAAGAAAGTGAGATAAGTATTGTTATAAGAATATTACTTAATTATATACAGTTCTTGACTACAGCTGCCGCATTTAATTTGAATTGGCCTTATTATTTACAAGTGTTTTTCGGAGTGTATTCTCAAATAGGTGAAGTCGCAGAAAACATAATTTCTTTTGATTGCTTTTTGTAAGATACAGGATTTACCAAACCAGATTCATCTACATTTTACTTCAAGACCTTAGTAATTGTAATATTGCCCTTAATAATGAATATACTCTTTTGGATATTCTTTTTCATTATTAAATTTGTCAGAAACACAGACTTTGCAAGCTTTAGGAGATAAGTTACTGTAGCAACAATTGTAATTATTTATTCTCTGCATCCATCAATAACAAGATTGACTACTAGTTTATATTTTTGTATGGAGCTAGATAAAGGAGAGTATTGGCTACAATAAGATCTTTAGGTGAGGTGTTGGACAAAAGAACATTTAAGTTGGAGTCTTGGCATAGGTTTAATCTCTGTTTTAGTTTGGATCTTGGGTGTACCAATAGTGGGATTCTTATATCTACACAAAAATAAAAATAAACTTCAAAAATTAGAATTTTTTGGTAGTTACCGAATGATCTATTAAGGGTTAAAGCCATAGCATTTTTATTGGGAATTTCTAAACATTTTAAGGAAAACCTTCCTTGTTTGTGTCAATGTATTCCTAAATCTATACTCAAATATATTCAAGGCATTATTAAGTTTAATAGTACTCTCAGGATTCTTGAGAATCTAGGGTAGAGTTTAGCCCTATAAAAACCCAATATTTAATATCTTAGAGTAGAGAGAGATATTAACTTCTATTGCGACTTTTTTTGGTGCATTATTCTTTGTTAATAATGAAATTTCAGACAGTGTATAACTTTTCGTTTTTATTGCAATTGTGCTTGTCAACTTATGGTTTTTAATTCTTTGCTTATACTGTTTGGTATCAACAATGAAAAGTTAATATGCCTAAAAAGCTACCTCTTTTCTAAGCACTATTGTTCTGTCTTAGTAATTATTAGCCTAATAATAAGAATATTAAGTCTACAGGTAGTTA